TCTGTTTTTTTGTTTTTTTTTTTTTGGTGATCGTATTTTAGTTATTTGACTTTATTTTAATATTTTATGGTCTGTTAGCCTCTAATCCTGTCATGCTTAAGATTAATGTGTTTTTCAGTGAAATGTTACACACAACCTTGCTACTCTCTGAAGTTCAAGCTGCGCACACATATAACACCTAACTTACAAAAATTGACCCAACTGTGTCTTTCTTTGGTCCTTAAAATTAAGTGTTACTTACTATTTTCATGGTATAAAATAGCTGCAAACAAGGAACTGTCCAGTATCCTGTATTGGACTTAGCCCTTGAGCAAATAATCATTCCCATGATCACTGAACAGTCATTGAGCACACCTTTGTTTTGTTTTCCCAGGGTATATAACCTCTGGGAAACGGCAACCTTGTTCTTGAGCTAGAATTCTCCTGAGAGTTTGGTGAAGCCATACCTTTCCATATCTCTTGTGACCATATTTCGTAACTATGTTTAGTTTCGGTGACAGCCTTAGAAAGTGAATGAGAGCACAGCGTCAGGTGCCATAAAACTTTATGGACTTGTTTTTCTCAGAGTTTGATTTTTCTTTAGTCAGATATTATTACTGACACGTCACTTTCAGGATATCAAAGTAAAATTTTTATTATTATTATTATTATTATAGCTACTGTCATTCTTATTTAATTAAGTAGGCCTTGAGCACCAATCATTGTGGCGTATGAAATGCAGCCTTTTATTACACATCATTTTAAATAATTGAATAATCTGCTAATATGTGTTTAATAAGTCCCCAGCAGCTAAGAATGTGTTGGTTTGCATTTTTAATATGTACTAACTCAATATTACAGGTTTTTTAACTATATTCCCTTAAAATGTTGTGTTAGCTAGATATTTATAAATGCGTATAAGGGTTGCAGACATACAGTCAACTTGCCCTCAAGTGTTCACGGACCTGCTTTGACCATTATGCCAAACGACTTGCGTATAGTGGCTCATAGAAACAGTTTATGCTGGTCCTTTTGCTGGTTTAGCTGGCAAAAGGACCAGCATAAACCA